GAGGGCTGTGATATTTCTTGCCCATTGTTACCAGGTTAACCTTTCACCTGCGGGACTCGCTGCTTCCATTTGCCCAACCTGTTATAAGCTGGAAATGAAATAACTTTGACAGCTGTAAAAGGTCAGTTGTAGAAACAACATATTTGTTTTAGCTCAGTACCTTACCTACAGCATCTGGTGTTCATTGCCCTATTAGTGCATCCACAAAGAAAAAGTCAGATTCCTCACCGCAGCGCAACACCGATGATACCCAGGAACCAGAGCTAAGCCCGGGAGCCCACATCTTGCCACAGCACTTGGAAAACTAGATCCTCCAGAGCCAAGAACAGAATCTGGAGACCATTTTACAAAACTCCTGGGGATGCAATTCAGGATATACAAAATAAAGAGGGAAGCAAGCTGAAGATGAGCTTCCAGATGCCGTTTGCAAGCATTTGCAAGTAAATGGAACCTTAGAGTGCTGTGAATAGTACAATCAGGAATTAACAAACATATGGCAACTGCTACTGGCAATGGATCATCAGCCTTTCACTCACAGATAGCCTGACTTCCACTCTGTCTGTAAGACTTTGCAGAACACATGTCAAGATTTACTGGGTTTTGTCATGCTCCAAGACAGCATGTCAGGAAGTATGATGTGTCCAGGTGCATCAGTCTCCCTCCTGATCCTAAAACCACAGATGAACATGCCAGGGAGAGCCAGTCCTCCAGAGAATTAAGATCTGTCAGTAACTGCCCGTTACTTGAAATACATGGTTGACTTCCCAGTATCAGGATTTCTCTCCCACACAAGGCAACAAATGTAAATTATTTGGCACATCCCCAAAATAACAATTTCTCATGTCAACCAAACCTCATGCATCAGCACAATGAACTTAAAAGATTTTTCCATTATTCTTACACACGTTTATGAGAATACTTAAACATATTTCAGAAATGTCAAATCTTTGTAAAGTCACACAGATTTTATGACTAAATTAGGAAAGGTTACTAACATTCCAAATGGAAAAGCTATCAGCAAGTTAGGCTTGTGGTCCCAAATGTGCAGGCCTTTGAACAGTGTTGCAGATATCTTTCCCACAGAAATATACTTGTATATTAAAAAAGGAAAAAAACCACAATCTACAGTTCAGTGTCCTTACAGAAGACTGTGCTACAACTGCAGCCTATAGCAATGAATCTAAAATTTCACCTATACTAATTTAAAAGATATTCCCATTGCCCTCATCACCACTGACCTTTTACTAACACCGAGTGCTGACCTGAGCTAGGATTGAGTAATCCCTTGCCACAGAAAACTGCTGTTGCAAAGCCAAAGAATATTTGAGATACCTGATGTAACAAAAAGATAACCAATGGCACATATATTCTTTCCAGGCATGGTTTATTGAAAACACACCAAATTGTTATCCTACATACCTGGTTTCTAACAAGCATTCTACTTGTCTGCATTATGGAAAGATCCTATAATACATTCTGTCATGGCAACATTTGTTCTATGAAAAGCATAATCCACCTTTTTTTTTTTCCTCTCCATACTTGTAAAATCAAACCATTCTAAGTGTTTCAGTTTATAGTACAGTGTAAATACAATGCAAAACCCCACCAGTCTAAACTACAGAGAGAATGTTGAGCAGTATTACAGAAAACACATTGTTGATTTTTTTTTTTTTAATTCTCCTACCATGAAAATTTTAAGGCACATGATAGTTACAAACACATTAGCTACTAATTACCAGTAAGCTTCTTAGTCTAGTTATTTTTCTGAACAGTAAGAACCAGATTGGCAGGACTTGTATCTGCGCTGTCTTCCTCCTCCTCCTCCTCTCTCCTCCTTGGACTTCAGAACATCCTACCCTGATGTAAAACTTGAGACAGAACAAAAAAGGTTCATAACACCTTCCCCTTAAATGCACTAGATTAGTTACTGTACCAATAAATCAGAGAATTTATCTGTCAAAGATAAAGAAACACCAGATTTTAGTGGAATTAAAAGAAATTTTGCAAGAAATTATGCCTATATAAACACCTCCAAAAACTGTGAGAGCATAGCTCCACCCCAAGAGCAGAAAACGCTGGCTGAAGTTATTGGCACACTGTGGTTTACACTGAGTGGGCAGTCAGACAGCAGAAGAGGCTACAACCACTCTAATGTGTCCATTTGGCTTCTGAAGCGTTGCTTGCTCCAAGGGTTTCAGATGTGCACCTCTCTCACGGGTAGCTGAGCGTAATTACAGGCTCAACTTTAAGGCAAGTAACAGAAGGTAACTCACCAGCTTCAATCTCCTGAAACTGCTCTAGGAGTGGAAGCTGCTTTGCCCAGCATAAGCCTTGCACTCTAGAAACCATTGCTGAAAACTACTCCTCAGAGCTGGCAAGAACCTACCAATCTGCTGTTAACAAACACACCACCCCTGCTTTTGTGATGTGCCGCAGCAGATCAGTTCCTAGACTCCAGGTCAGTCCCTTTTGTGGTGTCTTGGCAACAGAGACAAGATACGCTGTCCTGCTATAGGCATGCTCAGAACTGGTATGTCCGAGTGCACGAGAGCAGAACTGGGACAGGCAGGTGTCTTGCCCAGGAGACACTGAAGATCAGGACCTATGGCTGCCCAAGCTTTTCTCTGGGGAGCATTTCAAGCTGGCATCACATCTGAAGCTGTCAAGTTACACTTAAGGCTAAATTACCACTTAACTCCAAGACAGAAACAAAATGTCCTAAAGCCTGGTGTTCCCACTCTTCTCCTTGGACTCTGCAGACAGACCAACCTGGGAAGCTGTAAGCACAAGTACAATTGGTCATGAATTCAAATGATGCTTCTCCAGGGGAGTCTTGACACACAATGTTGTGGTGTGGTTTGGCTTTTTTTTTTAATCTCCACAGCTTAGTGAAGGTGCCTGGGAGATGTGCAAACGACCCCCCGGGAAGAAAGTTCTACTGTAATCACATGCCATCAGAATTCTCCCTCTCCCCTATGTTATCTCAGCCCTCACTGGGCCATCAAATTTTCTCCTTCTCTTTAACAGGAGTCTTGCAACACCATTGCTTCCTTCCACAACCATTCCTCCCACTAGAATTTCTGCAGGTAGAAATCTCTTTTACTCCAGCCCTTTACAGGCAGACTCCCTCCAGCTTTCACAGTGGAGCCAACACAAAAAGAGGAGGTCACATACCTGAGCCCTAAAAAGCACTGCCTGCCTTTTAGCACGAGACTCTACACCCTGCTGCAGCTTTAGTCACACACACTGCCTCTTTCCCTTCTTTACATACAGTCCCTGCTGCCAAAACACAATTACGGGTTGATCCACCCACGTCCCAGAACAGCTCACACAGCCAGTCACGCTTGCACCAACAAGGGGAGAGGTAAGGGCAGCCATGGGCACATATCCCACCAGCCAGCTTGTGGCCATAGACAGAAAGGACATCAAATCACCAGATCTAGTTCAAAGTATTTTGCTTTGGACTTCAGGTGGTGAGCTGATAATAGAAGACAGTAAATTCTCACATACAGTTCACCCCCAATCCCATTTTCCTTCCTCAACACCCAAACAACAGTTTGTTCAGTAGAAAAAAACCCCACAGTAATGTAAATGACGGGTTACTGCAATACACTTGGGAATTCATGGTTTTTCTAAGGCATGGGAATGGCAGGGGTAAGATGTGTGATTCCCAGAGGAAATCTTGGCCCATGGACTTGGTATTTGACTTCTTGATATACCGTCCTTTGCTTTTCTGCAGTAATAAAACGATGTTGTCAGCTCACACTATGCAGGCTGCCACAAACACTTACTCCCAGGAAAGCAAAGAACAGTTTGCTGCCATGACCCTGGGCAGCCAATGACAACTACCCTGACCGAGAGGCTGGCTTAGCACAGGATGAGGTTAAATACCAAAAGAACTTTTGGGAGAAAGTGGGACAAGGTCTGAATTTGCTTCTCAAGTTGTGCTGGGTGTCATTAGCCCACTAATGACAGAGATCAAAGTAGATTCAAATCTAGATTTTGAGTGTCCCTGTAGTGCCCTACTGAGAGCCATGGGATATCTGGGATTGGAGGTCATGGACCTAAATCGGCCCTGTGCCACTTCACCTCCCCCTTCCTGCAGTTTTCACTGTTATCTCTTGCTAGCTTTGAAATATCTGTACAGTAACTAAATCACAAAGTCTTAGCAGAGACTCCTTTCAACACTCAGGTCTTTATTTTAAGTGAACTTTTGCTCAGACTCCTTTGGTAAATATATGGTTTAAAGTAGATCAGGGACAGACTGACAGCACGGCCCTTCTCTTACACTGTTCTAGATCAGCTACAAAGCAGGTTCCATTGCTAATTACTGAACTTTTTTAAAAAAATCCTTTCATATACAAAAAGAATACACCAAGTACATAACCAAAAGTGATATAAAACTCTTCTGTGTAGCTTGGTTAAAAGGGTCTCCGCGTATTGGCAGGACAAGTATGAAAAGAGCACCATTGATACAATATACAGTCAGACTGGGTCTCCACTTCACTGCCACGCTTCACGTCTACACAGAGACGCTGCCCCGACACAGATCACTCAGCTAGCTCTTCGCTTCCCTGGATCCACTGAGCATCTTTGGCCCAACAGGACTCTCATGCAGGTGAAGAACCTAAAAATCTTTGCTATTTTACTTTGCTCCAAGCAGCTTCACCTTCCCCAGGATCCAGAAGTGACCACTGCAATGTATGTAGGAGATGAGCATCAAAAAGGGAGGGTGCGAAGGAGCACGTGTATCATCCAAATCACTGACAGCTTCTGGCATCAGTCTTTTTCCCTGAATCAACAAATGCTTCCCTCTCCTGCAAACTAACTTTACATGGTTTTGTTAACCTATCCTCTGCACAACAATATATATATATAGATATATAGATTTATTTATTTATATATATGTATTCATGTCAAATTTTTAATATACCCAAGAAGATACAAAGCTCTTGGTACTTCCTTTTTTAAAGAGTTTTTAAATTTTTTTTTTTTTTTTTAATTTTAGATGTTTACTATTACAGTAATATTCTGGGGGAGGTGAGGTTGTTGGATATTTCCCCTTCTTAATTACAAAGGAAATGGCAGGCACAGAAAACAGCAAATGATGTTTGCTAGATTCAGAAATATGCATTCTAGTCACACTGTTTTATGGAGCTTGTTTAAATGTGGCAATCAAAGAACAGTGGCAACCAAATAAAATCAGCAAAACACCTCTGATGCTACTAGTAAGACATTTGGTTCCTATTCTCATCTACTGCCCTTCCTTGACCAATGCCTGGAGAAAACCAGTGATCTGAAGCCAGTTAGTTGATACCATGTATGCAGAGTATGTTCTTGTGAGGTAAAAACTCCCCTTGACACAAAGCAGGCGTTAGCATCTCAGAGGAGAACTGTGGCACATGGGTGATCTTCACACGAAATACAATATGTGATCTCAAAACAAAACCAAAGGAACAAGAAATCATGATGATGATTTAAAAAAATGCCAAACCGGTTCCCTTTGTGGCATTTTTTGTCAGGACTTACAGACTGAAGCAAACATGGATCCAACAGTGATAAATCTACCATCAAATAATTGAAAGATCCATCTAAAATTTATAGCATGATCAAAATAAGATATCCTACAAAAAAGCTGCTATTTTCAACCAACATGTTAACAGCTATGGCAAAAGAAATTGTTAATCACCATCAATGCAACATTGGTATGTGTAAAATGTTAAAGCTCCTTACTGCAATCTTTGAGAACAAGAAAACAAAAAGCCAGCAAACTCCCTTTCTCAGCATAAATTTCTGAATCTGGAACACTGAAATCTTCAGTAAACTGCTTTTCAATGTGTTGAAATTAAAACAGAGCCATTACAAAATTCAAAAGGCATAAGTATTGTACACCAGATTATAATGAAAATATAGAGCTGTGACTGATATAGCTTACTCTAAAAGCAGATTATACAGCTTGCATCAATTTTGTCATCCACCCTCCAGTCCGTTTGACTAGCGTTTAATAGTTTTTGTTCTGCATTTCCTCCCTTCATTGAAATCCAATAAACCCACTCAACATTCCTGCACTTTCCGTGGAAATAATAAAGAAAACCTAAACAGTTTTCAAAAAGCCTTTAAAAATGTTAGATTCACAGTTCAAAAGAAATCCCCCTAAACAAAAAAACCCACACCCAACAAAACAATGAGCCCCAAACCAGAAAAGTGCTATTATCTTCATGGCTACACCTACGATATTACTTCAAACATTCTGCAGTCTCTCTTTCACTTGTGACGCCGTCTTCTTTGTAACCACATGACCTTTACTTCTCATACTTGGCACCATCCACACCTAAGAGTCACCTAAGAATGCAGTCAGCTGGATGGAAGCTTGGATTCTCTTCTCTTGCTTGCTTTCTTCTTGCAGGAGTGGGAGGGAGGGGGAGGTGGTGGCTCTTTCTGGTGGGAATGTAGCTGAGTTAAAGAGCAAACTGTCTCCCTGTAAGGCATGGTGCTCCGGGGCTGGCGAGGGCAGTCACTTCTGTCTTCTCCCCACACCCTCCTAGAATCTGCAAGCCTGGTCGGTGATGCAGCGCCCTCCAAATCTGAATGGCAGTGGTGACTGATGAGATCCTCTGTGTCGATTCAATGTTTGTTTCTCCCCCTCAATTAAAAAAAATGTGGTTGGACTCTAGCCCTGCAAAATAAAGTCAAAACTAATTAATAACAGCAAGCAATGTGCCTTTGGTGATCTCCATCACCCAGTGGTAGAAAACACCAACCTATCCCAAATATAAGGGTTCCTTGAAGGGTCTGACTGCAAAAAAATGAGCACAGAGTTAATTTTTCAAAGCCTGCACACCACCTGTAAGCCTTCACTGCCCAGAGGAAGAATGCAGGAGTGAAGTGTATGGGCACTGCACACGTTTATCTCTGCCCTTTGGCTGGGCCAGCAAGTGCTGACCACACAGTGCCGTGGGGAGCCAGTGGTGCCAGGGCCTGCTCTGTGGCTACGTGAGTGCTGCAGACTGCTCTGGGCAGATGCTTCCAACCCAGGCACAGAAACAGTCTGTGAACACTTGGCACTTATACTAGACTCTTAAATGAAGATGGAGGGGTTTAAAAAACCAAAAGCTGCCACCACCACCCAAAACCATGAAGGAGTTTTATCCCCTACTCATGCAAGTGTTTTCCACGTGGAGTTATGGGAGTGAATGATGTTTCGGAATTTGGACCTTAAACGCCTATTGTCTATCCTGACAGGAAAGTTGCCCAGTGCCTTCACACCAGTCACCAGGATTTCCCTTTCGTCACAGCCAGGGGCATAAAATCTGCTGTTCCAAACCCAGGACCACCACTGGTGGAGTGTGAGAAGGTGTGACTGGGGCAGAGGGCTGTCTAGCAAGACAGCAGCAGACAGATCAGCAGTGGCAGGAGCACAGAAAGGCCAGAGACATTACTGAGGAACTTGGCACGTGGCAAAGGCAGAGAACCAGAAAGCGACAAAAAGGCATCTTTCTTTTGCAACAGGAAAAAAAAAAAAGGAAAATTGAGAAGTAGGAGTTGTGGGCCTATGTTTCTTGTGTAACCAAAACCATCTCTCCTTGCAAAGTAACCTGTGTAAAGTCAGCAGCTTTCCTGCAAATGGGCATGGCTGTGTGTTTCACGGGAACCTCAGGGGACATCCAGAAATAATCAAGGATATGCTTTTCCTTAAGTCTCAGGCTAATCCTTATAATTAACATAGAGGGAAAAAAAAATAAAATTTGGAAATGCTTGGAAGCAGGCGCACATTGCTCAAATCCATCCCCATGGCCTAACAGCAGAAATCATTCACATTTCAGCTGACAACCATTCATTTGTGACATTAATTTTCTGTCTGGTTATTGGATAAGTTATTTTTTACTCAAACAGTGGTGTTTGACTGCATCTCATTAGAGATAAACTGAATATAAACACTGCTTTTATTTTCAAATGCATTTTCATTCGTCTTAATTGACCCAGTTAGCAAGTTAGCCTGGAAGAGATTCCACAGTGATACAGATCATGCACGAGACAAGTTAATCACTAGCACCAATTACCATTAAAAGGACCTACCATGCATGCAAATTAGACCCAGGAGTCAACAGGCTGGGGTTTAATGTCACGGGCATCCACCAGATTCACCGAAGCCCTGTTACTCCTGTTAATGTTTTTCCTATTTGTGTCATTCTGCAGCACAGGGTGAGGAGTTAAAGGCAAAAACAGAGCGGATTAATCAAACAAAACCACCAGTCAGCTTAAAGGGAAAATTAGTGGTAGAGAAAGAAACAAGATCAGCAAAAGCACAACACTGACAAAAGCATCTGCAACAGCCATAAGGCTGCACCTCCCTGCCATCACGAGTCACAACTTTTGGCCACTCTTGAGCCTCATTGCCATGGTTATCAAACAGCTCACAAGCCAGAAGACCCAACAGACAGATCTCTTTTTCACAGCACTGCAAGGCCGAGTAGCAGTTACTTGGCTCTGCCCAGCCGAGGGCATGGCAGCACGTACCTTTGACATGTACAACAGCCTGAAATCAGGTTACCCTCTGTCCTTAAAACCAAGAGGCAGCACAGACTACAGAAGATATTGTCGAGGTGAAATTTTTTCTTTTTCTCATGAAAGCAAAGCAGCTACTCACGGAGCGCACAACTCACTGGGTTGTGCCTTACTTCAGACATACACTGCAGTTTGGGCTGCTTGACATGATTTTGAGGGTTGCTCTAGATCACTTGAATTAATTTTGAGTGGCAAAAATAACCAATTTGTTCACTTTCATGCCTTAGCCTGTTTTCCCTAGAAACACATTTTCTGTCAAGCTCCTATTGATCAACATTATGTCTCTTAGTGCATCCATTCACACTGCAACCTTGCAAAACAGAACCGTGATGAGGGAACTAGGAAGTTTATTTTGTTGACACTGGTTCAAGCAGGGCCATCTCTTGCCACGTTGGAGCAGGGGATGACCATGCATGACCTGAGTCATTAGCTCAGTTTTATCATTCTAAAAAGTCTAACTGGGCAGCCTCCAACAAGGTGTGGCTATACCCAGAAATGGTAAACTGAAGAGTGATCTGTGCTTAAAACAATGTCTGGCTGGGTTGAAGCATTCTCCAGGATATACCCCCACGGAAAGGCAGGACACTGCAGGAAATGCATGGCCAGGAAAGTTAATATGGGTAGACTGATGCAGTAGAACATCTCAATTCATGATCTACGGAAATATTTTTCTCCAAATCCCATTTTTATTTCCCTTGCTCAATAATAGTGGGTTTTCCTTTCAATTGACAGGAGTTTAAATTGTTTCCACTCAAAAAGAATCGTCTAGATTTTCTAATATTATCAGCAACATGTTGAAGGTTATTAAGGACAACCTTCTGCAGACTAACAATAGTGTTCCCTACCACTGACTCTTGCTTAAATGAATGCTTAAATGAACTCTTCCTCCCTTTCCTCCTTGAAATTACTTCCTCAGGGGAAAAGACAAGCTTGTTTTGAGGCCAGGAAGAGCTGATGGCCATTGCATTAATCAGCTTTGTAAAAGATCTACTGAAAATGTATAGGAATGCAACACAAATAACAGAGCCTATGAAGCCACGTTTGCACAGAACTCACAATACAAAGAGCTTTGTGATTTAAGATTTTTTTTTTAAATTACATAATCATCTAAATTTGTTTTTCAGAAGGCACAGTTATACACTTCTGGGCTAGGGAGTGCTGCCTGGATGAGGGTGACAGAACAGACACTTTCTATTTCTACAGCCTCATCCATTTACAGGAGTACAGCGACTGCCTGCACTTGCTCCAGCACTGCAAAGCAGTATTTTTTTTTCATCCTAGTTTCAAAATAGCGCCTTTATCTGAAAATAAAGAAGCCCTTTACAGCCCCCTGGTTATTAACTACCCCGTATTTCTTGCTGAGGGCACCAGGCTTCCTCTCTTTCAGAGGCACCAGCTAGCATTCAGCAGAAGAGGAAGCTCACTTTCAGAGGCTCCTTCTCGGAGGCGTCCCCCGCGCTGTCACTGCTCTTGTACTTGCGCTCCTTGTCCCGCTGGTCGATGGTGGAGTACCCGTCTGAGGAGAAAGAACCTGACAGTCAGGCATGGAGCACAAATAAGAGCAGAAACAGTTCTTCAGCGAGGAAAGAGGAAAATAAACCATAACAACCCGCCAGCCTGCTTTTCACATGCGCTCCAGCTCTGAAATTTCATTTTTCCAGCCTCAAACAAAAGAGAAAAGCCCTCTTTTTATATCACTGCCAGATGCTGGCACTCATTAGCAAGCAGCACTGTTGTCATCCCAGCCTGCTGCAGTTTTTAGCGTGCCCAAGGAAAGCAGCAAGTTGTCATCTCACGCCCTGTGGCTAATGAGCTCCAAATTCAGCCCAAATCTTGTGTTCCTTGCTTAGCAGCCTGATTAATTGGCTGTGTTCATTCTCTGAATGCTCTGCAGCATGTTCCCACTCTTCCTGAGCCTGACTACTAGCAAGGCATGACAATAATTTGGAAGAGTCCCCTTCAGAGCACTGAGAAAAAGAGCCTGTTGAGTTGGAAGAAATCTTGATGCAAACCCTGCTGTGCTTGGACTGTCTTTCACTACAAAGTAGCACCTGTTGGTGCTTTTTCTCCTGACAACTAAGAAACAACATTAAAGCGTGATGAGCACAAGGAGGAAAAGTGTTAGAGAGTTTTATAAAGAAATGGTCTAATTATTTCAAAATCTTTGCTTTGAATCATTGTCAGACAATGCAAGCCTTTATTTTCCTGATGCATCAAATTTCCCTCATTATCAGTGCCAAATAGATCCTTCTGCTCTGCTTTGACAGCACTGTACTCTGGAGTAAATGACACTCAAATTTATAGCTCCCTGTAGGCTTTTGTTTTTCCCCTGTGTAACTGAGGGATCATTAATGTTTTCACATCCTGACAAACTTGGTTCTCAGACCACCACAGAAAGGTTTGACAAGCTATCAAAATGCTCCTCTCTTCGTTTATTACTTGCATGCAACATGTCACTAACAAAAATGAAGTCAAGTTTTCTGTGGGGGTCCAGTGGCATAAAGAGACATTGTCTGCCCACATAAGCACACGCAGCTAGAGTGACTTCTACCAAAACCACAGTGGCAGAGCAGGGCCCTAAACAATGTTGATGCTGGCCACAGCCAGACGATCAAAGTGCACAAAGACCTGCAACAAGCACCTGAAGTAGCCTAAGTCTACACCATGGACAGTAACAATGTTTATCCATGTATTATTGAACCATGCTGCCTCAAAATAACTAAAGAATTTTAGAGTTACACATGTAGTACACCCATCTGAAAGCATGAAAATACTGGCAACACAGAGCTTTACTTACCATTACTTGCTGACAATGAAGATACCTAACATTCTTGGCTATCCCTTTCAAATAAAAAGGAAAAATCCTAAAGCCTAGCAGCTGCATCCAGCTACCCAGCCAGTTTGGAGGAAAGCATGACCAATAATACCCTTTCAAATGACAGGCATGAGTACTAATAGTAAGGCATATCCTAATCTAATGATTCATCATTTATTCAGCAGTAAGTAGTTCATATATTAAATATTTAAATGACGGAAACATGTTGATGACTCCTCCCAAAACATCCAAACTCACAACAACTGAGTGGTAGCTTTTTACAATCTAATATTAATATTCACAACAATGTAATGGATCACTTCAGGCATTTTCGCAGTGCCATCATCATGGGTGATCCACAAACATTTTTAAAACAAGTTGCCAAGATACAAAGGAAACCTTTAACCCACCCCAAGAAAGCACAGCTACTAAGTGAAATGGCAGCTGTGGTGCTTCCCAGGGAGCAAGATCAGAAGTAAGGACTGCAATAAAAAAAAAATTAAAAGTGCAATGGATCTTTAATACTACAATTTTTTTTTTTTTTTAAATACTTATGACAGCAGCCACAGGAAGAATCAATCTTTCGCAGAATGGCAGTATTCTAACAGCCAACAGCCAGGAACTTTGTTCTCCGTATCTAAGTTCCAACATATTTTGTAATTCCTACTGTCACTGGGCACAGCTGTGTTTTCTGCATACTAATAGTGTGTGTGGTCACATCAGCACTAACTGATTATGTGTTTCTAAAAACCACACACTCTGCTATGACTCTGTCAGGACAACCAGCAAGTAGAGATAGGAAGTTCATGGTCTGACTTAATAACATGAGAAATATCTTGAAGAAGGCTGCATCAGAGAAGTAACATCTCAGTGCCCCAAGGACCACAGTTCTCCAAAGAAATTAGAAAATAATAATTCTGCTTCTCCCATGTTTCAAATTCATTCTAAAAGGTGATCAGAATTAAGTCTGGAATAAAGACGACATGACCCATCTTGCTTCTCCATGGTTTAAGTGCAATATTCTGAGCTCATGCAACCCAATGTATAGACAAAAGTTACACTGGTCAACAGAGGCACATCCCATTCTTGGCTTATTTCTCTCTTTCTGCTTGTTGCTGTCTGTATTGGTTCACTGAGTATCTCCTGTTCACTCTGCAGCAACATTTTACGTCGTCCCAGATCACAGGACCAAATGCCTGCTCAGTGTCACTCTATCTATGTCCTCACACAGCTCTCAACTTACCAAGATCAAACCTTTGGACCCATCAAAAAGGAGGAGGAGAAACAAAGAGTTACGCCTGAAAATGGGCGCGTAAGAGATAGGGGCATCTGAGCTATGTGACTCTTGTCTCAAGAGTTCTCAGCTCACAGATGCTCTTGTCTGACTAACTGCAGGCTAACTGAGGCACAGATACGGTTTTCAAGAACTACACAAATTTGCCATACAGCCTTGAGATCACAGTTCTGCTGCTTCTGCAGACAGCTCAGGGTCACAGCCACCCTCAGGCAGCACCGTGACAATAAGCATTGATGATCTTCAGATTACTTGGTGCAGAGCTGCTTGGCTAGAGCTGATGAGGTCTGACAGACCTGTGCTATTTCGGCACCGGGCTGTCTACTGCATCCCACAGTAACTCATAATATGTGTTTGCTTCCATCTCCCAGGACATCCTCACTCTAGTCAGGCCCTCCCATGGCTCCAGTAAACAGGAACTTGACTGCTCCACTACTGTCAGGTGATAGGGAACATATCTTTCTGCCTCCCCAGCTCACACTGATAGTCAATAAACTTCCTTTATAGTGAAGGATGATCCCCCCTCAACATTAGCAAACAAGCTGAGATTCCAATAGCAATTTTATTTTTGCAATTTTGAAAAAGAGTCAATGTGGGTTAACAGTACAGGCTCAGGCACCAAGAGAGCCGAGCCCTGACAAAGAGAGGCAGCAGATGAGCAGCAGGTAGGCAGTGACGTTGTGGAGCAAGCAGCCCTGTTCCCTGCAGGGGAGCAGGATGTCTGCTCTGGGCTGGAAGGAGCCGGGCCGGGCGCTGCCCTTGTGTGCGGCACAGACCCTCGCCGGGCTCTGCAGCCACGGCGCCCAGCACTCAGCACCACGGCAGAGATTGCTGTGGAACCTGGGAGCACCCTAGTTAAATGAAACAGACTACACAAACCTGGGGACAGAGGAGAATTCTTTACAAGACACTGACTATAAAGATCTTAGGTCAGGTGAAGTCACAAAGTGAGGAAGGCAAGGGAAGATCACACAACTGAAGCCACAGCACAGGACCTTTGGCAATAAAAAGACAAGTGGGGATTCCAAACAACTTCCTCTGTCATGCATTTCTTTGCAAATGTGTGTGAGGTCAGTCTCTCCTGGAGGCTCAACGTAGACTGGTGTGGAGTACACAGGGATACAACCAAACTGCTTACTGCAGGTACAAACCCAAACGACTGCCCATTGATGCTCTGCTCCTTCTATCTGCCAGTTTGCTCCAGAGCATAAAAAAACCATCAAAACCTCCAAAATACAAGAGCCCACAATGAATTTAAAATCAGAAAATACAGCCTTAGAGCAGCTCCTCATGTTACTATGCCCATTAAGACAAAAAACGTATGGCATGTGGAAGAGCCTGAAGGAAAGAGATGAACTACTAAGCTGTTAGTTCCTTGGAATTAAGGACAGTAAACTGGATACATTAATTTGATTTCCTCTCGGCTGACCTCTGAAACAGCACCAAGTTTAGTCATACTGGAGTTAAAAAGCACTCAAGAGCTAGGAAACCTTGACAGATTTCATCTTCTAATAGCAATAAGATTGAAGAACAGAATGGCCCAGAGAATCCGCCTGATGTTGTACATATACTGTTAATTTGCACTTAATTTTGTACTCAGAGCTGTACCAGTAACTCCCGAAAGCACAAGGCAACAATTAATATTGAGACTAAAAACAATCAGCACTGTCCATACTGCAGCACCTGCTAGCACAGAGCTAGCCTCCCAGGAAATCTTCTCTGAAGTGATTTTCTTCCATTGTGAGAACAACTGTTTCAGTATTCCCTTAGGCAAAATACACATAGACAGCAGATTCATGGCAAGTGGCATCTCATTGTTTTATAAGAAAGCAAAAGGTAATATATACCTGTTATTTTAACTTCTGAGCATGATTTGCTTTCATCTTGGTTCTAACTTGCTACTTTTTTCAGCTACAATCACAAATAGCAGCACATCAAACTGTCTGATTTAGAGGCATTAATATAGGTATTTAAATAAAAATAACATAACGTCAACTGGAAGAAGTAAAGCAAATTTCTAGGAGACCACACAGCACCTTTATCTACCTCAGTGAAGGAAAAAACCCTCCACAAGTCTTCCACTACAGAGATTATCAATCTCAAAGCATTTCACTGACATTAGGTGGCTGCTCTCAGTCTAGAGGGAAAGCCAGACCTGGCTACATGCAGGTAAATGAAAGGTAGAGTCAAAAATATCATACATACTAGCTTATTTTTGGTGCTACCTACAGAATACAAAGGCAGAATGTATTTAAACACAAGCATTACATTTAAGCAAATTTTCAGCTCTGAACCCCCAGACTTCCAGCTGTGTAATAGGGAATGTAGCTGTCTGATGGGCCAGAGACTAGAATGAAAGCTAGGTCACTATATCTCCATTATATGTTTACAGTAGTGGAGAAATCAGTGTGTACACTGTATATGTATTTAAAATAACAATAAAAGAAGATAGAAAAAAAAAAAGATGAAGACCAATCTTTTGTAAGGTGATGTTCTGTTTTTAAATGTCAGCTCTATCCATCTGAAGGAATAGCACCTAGAGAAATAGTTGAACTTTCCCATGAGTGACAGTGTGCTCTATTGAAACAGACAGAGTCTGAGCTATGACTGTATTTACCAGGGCCAAGTTCATCCATAGGTATCATATCCCGACTCCCAGCCTTCTCGTTATCTATAAAACAGAAACATTGAAACAACTTGAGTTACTTTTGCTTTCCTCAACACTTGTCAGTTTTAAACTAGTCACAGGACCAGAGAGGTCTGAACGCAGGTACTACTGCTAAAAAACCCAAAAATGTTCAATTGTTACCCATTCAAAAAGGGAAGTTTGACTTAAGCTCTCCAGAGTGGGCACATAATCCTTGTATTTTCTGCTTTGACACTATAATACAGAATTCCCTCTCTCCAAGTGGTAACAGAGACCACAATTCTGATTTGGACTAAACAAGCTTCTCTCTGGTCTCTCCACAAGAGAAGGGAAAAAGTAAGGGCGCAGCTTCACATGGCACACAAACCAGTCTAGCAGCCTGCTGCACCAACAGAAAGCTAAACCACAAAGAAAGAAGTTGAATGTCAGATGTGCAAACTGACCCAAGTCATCCTCTGTCTGCATAATCTGTCAGATTTGATCAAAGACAGGGAAGGTGAAGACAAGTAAGGCAGTGTAGGTCTGTCTTTTCCACAGTAATCTGCAGTTAAATCAGGTAAAGGGAAACGTGGCACACTCAACATAGGGGACTCAAATTTTCTGAGTAGAAATTTTCACGTCTGTGTGTCAGAACCAGATGCAGAGAAAGTGACAATAATGGAACAAAGCTGGAGCTACACAAGCGCTGGCACGGCTGCGTCAGGGCTGGAGAATGAGCACACGTGGGTTTAGCTAGTGTTTGGATGAACCACCTCCAGTGCAAAAACTGCACAGCAGAGGAAGGAACACTGCCAGAACAGGTGCATTTACTTAGAGAGGAAAAGACACCAGTACTGAGTAGGGGTAAGGCCAAGCCCACTGCCTGGCTAAAGGTTAAATGTATTTATATATACCATTGCCAAACAACACTTCTCCTTTTTCAATTTTCCAACTTAAGTCTATCCCAGTTTCTCCCAGGAAGATTTAACAGATTATGTTGCATACAAGTTGTGAAAAACAACACTGGTAGTGCACATTTCACAAGGGAAGGAATACTATCCATGCCTAGCTATTAGGACCAATCATTTTGGAACTGTGGGGTTAAAGGCATCACATAAATAATTTTTACTCCCTCGTTCCTCCTCCTATCTCCATTACACAGATGTGGCAAATGCAGAAAACAAGTAAGCAAAGCATAACAGAAAAAGTGATAGAGGAGAACTGACCTTGACTTTTATCCACCAGAGGCAAAGTGCTGTCATCATAGCCAGACCTGCCAGCAGTACCTTTGGAACCCTTTGGAGCTGCAGAAACAGACTAGAGACAAAAATCACATGAGTATGAAATTGCTCGTTGGGGAAACTGAACAAGAAAACCAAGCCAACCAGCAGAACAGAGAGATTCCAGAATACTGCTAAGTCATTTCCCCCCCCCTTCTGTTGATAATATGGCACTGGAGTATCTTTTATTTTCATATCAATTTGTTAGTGAAATGTGTTTCCTGTTATCTAAATGGCAGTCATTGTTTGTCTGTAAAAGGAGTTCAACCTTTTCATAAGGAAAGATGAGAAGGCTGCATGTCAAGACCAGGTGGCTGCCCTGTGCTGCTAGAGGGAATGTTTCAAGTGAGAGACAACTAAGAAACGACGAGCTTAGCCTTCCTCCAGCCAAGCACAGGCATTCGGCCTGTGAGAGGTGGTGTACTTCCAAAAGATGAAGAGCTGCCTCTCCCAGACTCTGAGAAACACACCCAGCAAACACACGCATGATGTTGTGACTGAACAGATTATAGCATGTTGTTCTATCACCTAGAATAACAAAGCCAAAGCCACCATCCATCACACTGTAGCATCAGACTAAGTTAGGACATGTTCCACTCAGATTTAGTTAGTAGTTATGGAAATGTCTAAAACCCAGCTTCTTTACCTGGAAGTGTGATTTATTCCACCCATCCTTCTGCAGGGCATTTCGTAGTTCTTTATAGCTCCAGATCATCTGAAGAACGTGAGATGCTGCTTTTGTTTCTCTAGGAGACTGACTGATTTGCAAGATAAAATTAGAGCTTAAGCATCAAGCAATCTAAGATTACTCGTATTTTCATTTCTTTGCACCAAGACAATACCCAGGACATAGCTAGTACTCCATACAGCTACTCTTTGAATCTATAAGCTACAGAATACATGTGAAATCATACAGTGACTTCTATCTATACGTATTTGCTGACAAAACAATAAAATCCAAACAGAAAATTTTAAGCGGTGCAGATTTCTGGGTTTTCATGTGTTTTGCAGGGCAAGCACTGAGGCCGATGTGACTTGTCTTGTAGCTGTCATTAGAAGATGGAAGGGTTCCATCCTGCGTGGATTTATTTGGGGGGGAAAAAAAAAGCCAGATCAAGTTCTAAGCCATTTTTCAAACCTTTACGCCAACTTACATATATTCCTCACAATTCTATGAAGTTGCTTCATGGTTTAAAATACCTTAAAAAGCAATTTGGATCAGCAAAACCTAAGCTATTTTTAAACAGAAAAGGAAATGTTATCCATTCCTTACTCAGTACACAAACACCCTCTGTAGAACAATACAGGGATAGATTCTTGGTCAGCTCTCATTCTGTAACAACACAACCCAAGAAAGTCTTCAGGTATGCTCCCAAAAGTTCACTAAAACCATACCTATATGGAATCTCAGGTCTAACTGGCTGATGTAAATGAAACAAACTTTTCTCTAAAGCAGTCAGAACAGTTTTCAACAGAACTGCAGAGTGATAATTTGTCACCTCAATAGCACCCCAGCCCTTTGGCCAGAACAATTACTGTACAGCATTAATGATTTTAGGTAAAAGAAACAATTTCATCACTGGCATTCCAGGAATGGAATGCTGCCACAGGAAAAAGGGCACCCACATTGAAAATAAAGATGACGGTTTCACTGCAAATCATATCTGCTAACTGCATACATGGTGCTAAGAAGTATCCGACAAGAAGAGAGCATATCTCAACATGACTAAAGTGTCTGCTCAATTAACCTCTTTTAAAATCAAGTAAACCTACTAAAGGTGCTTGTTTTCCTGTGTATATATTAATTGCTCTGAAAGGTTAGGATGCTTCAATACTTTCACAAAGCAACAGCTGTTGTTCATTGTGACATCTTCATGTTCGCAGTGAATTCTTATGCATTTTGCTTTCAACTGTCACTTACCTTGACTTGCTGATAGCTACCAGCTTCTGAATGCCCTGTGTCTGGATCAGAGACCTCGCGTTTTCTGTGCTGTCAGTAATGATTTCATGGATGGTATTCAACACTGCAACCACTGTATCCTCTTCCAGGTTCTTTGCAGATCTCTGCTGCCTGCTGGGCAAATTTCTTACCAGCTCACCCATGGCATAACTACCTAGATAAGGGGAAGAGACACCATTATTCAGCCCTAATAAACCATTCCAGCTTCCCATCCTGAATGGCAAAAGTCAAGGACGTTTGCCATGTTGAAAAACATTACAGTGCACGTGTTGTAAACCTCAAGAATGTAACAGTGTATTTATCATTCATTATTTCAGGGTGATTAAGAGCTGATACCCAAGAAAATAGGTCTTCACCACAAATGCTGAAAGGTATTGAGAGGAATAAAATCCAGTGCAACTCCTTATTGAGAATTTTACAGTCAGCACCTATCACAGTTTGCAATGCCTGAGGCAAAAAGCATCCAGTAGCTGCTACTAATGCCACATATTCATGCTAATACACATATGGCTTACTCAACTTAGCCTTGTAATAGGCCTTCTGGGGCAAGGTGTGCAGCTGTGCATTTATTAACCTCCCCCCAACAAAAGTAAGAGTATTTCCTCCTGGGTGCAGTTAGCCCTCCAAGTGTATAGTACTGGAGAAAAACCTCGGAGCCTGGAGTTTATCGCTCCCAGGTGTCTGTCTGGACCATTTGCCTAGTTCCACCTCTGAACTATTAAAAGAGAACCTGATGTATCAAGGCAGAATCCCACCTTGCTGTTTGTTAGTATCAACTTTGATGATGGCCTTAAAAATGTGACCAGTATTTCCTGGCCTGACAGATTTACAGTTTAAACAAATATATCAGTTAAATACAGAGGCATCCAGAGGAAAACTCAACTCGCAGCTGAATCTTTCCTGCTTACAGCAGGTGAATGCTTATTTACCCCCTTGGACAGGAACTAGGGAGCACTGCTAAGAAACAACTTCAAGAGGAGTAAGTTGTTTGGTGTCCAGCTTCTACAAGCACCTACCACACAACACGATGAGAATGGATGGAGAAAGTAAGAAAAAAAGGCAACTTTAGAGTCCACTGCACTTCCCCAGGTTAGCTCAGCATGCCAAGGGCAAGACTCCCACTCTGATCTACATAGCAGGCCTGAAGAGCAACGTCTCTGTAGCCACTATGTACAACTAGAAACACACCTGCCATGTCAGCCAGAGCTAAAGAAGAGACAAGAAAGCCCTTAGCCTCTCCAGTCCTATGCAAACCTACACACGTTCCCCTCTCCTGCAGAAATCTTCATCTGTTTGTATGACTGAGTTAGAGATTTCCCTCAAATCATGGCTTGTTTGAATGGTCTGGAAATAGAATCTGAGATGACAGCCCTCCACGTGGTGGCTACAGAGTAATCTCAGACAGCATGGATGAAAAATGCATACAAAATGAATCTGCAGCACAAATGACAGAAAATATGAGGCCTCTTAAGGGTATCCAAGATACCAGCCTGGTTAGAAAAATTCAGAAGATACCTATAAGATCTTTATTGCGACGATCCATGGAAAGATTTCTCAGGGCAATTGATACAGCCCTCACAACCTTGTCAGAGTCGGACTGGAGCAGCTCCACAAGCACTGGTAAGCCTCTCTCCTTCCTCACTGTTGCACGGATGTACGTGGACCACTGATCAGAGCACACAAGGGAAAAGAAACAACAAAATATTGTGAGTTCAAGTACCTGCCCTTTCCTTACCATTGACATATCTTTCAGTGCTGTAGCTCATTTTTTTTTTTCCTGCAAAGACTCGCTAGGTTGTGTGAGCTGATGCATCTATAACTTAACCCATGATTCAAGTTCATCAACCAACAAGGGAGAAGGGATGTAGCAGTTCATCCTACAGCTATGCAAGCTGCTGGGGAGGGGACAGAAAGTGAAGGAAGGAGCATTATCTGCCAGCACTGCCTCTGTACACACTTCAGTATGAAAATACATCCCTCTGGATCAGGAAGAGGTCACTTGGAGGGAACAGTAAAGGATCTGTTACCTTCCCCCACCTCCAATTTAATGCTTTTGTTTCATGATTGAATTTAAAATATATTGTATTCAAAACAGCTGTGAAACACCATCCTGCTGATCAACTCCCACTTTGCCATGCAGTTCTAGAAGTGATCAGACATATCTTTGAGAGAACTGCCTGATTACTGCTGGGGATGCTTCAGAAAGGGTATCAGAGAACACTCTGGAGGGCAGTCTCCTGAGCATTCTGACAATCCCATGAATTAAGTATTCAGGACACTTAATCAATGGCTTTTCTGAATGGACAAAGCAATGGTTAAGTGGTTTAAGTAGTAAAACCTGCTCACAATTAGTTGTCATGAGCTCAGTGACACTTCCACCATCTGTCCAAAAGATGCAAAATATCTAAGGTAGGCAAATTATATGGAAATAATTTCTTTGGAGATCCCAGCTCCTTCCTTTTTAAAGGAGATATAAATGCCCAAAGCAACAGTGCGCTTGTAATGAGACATAGCTGTACTCTTTATTTAAAGGAAGAGAGACTGAAGAGAAGACTGCACTCACCATCCAGTTGCCAGCACTGAGATTCTGCAAAGCCCCTGCTGCAGCTTCCAGAGTGTTGAAGTTCTGACTTTCAGTGAGGATGGAGAGGTACAGTCGGACCACATCAGGTTGGTACAGTAATTCAAAGCCTGCAGGCAGGAGAAGAAGAGAAGCAAGAGAAGCAGATAAGAACGTATGAATAAACACACAACATGCCATAAACAACAGAACATTTTATCCCCTGTCATTGAAAACTGCACACAGGAACTCATACAGGACATTCATGTGGGCTGAAGGTCCCTTTGCTTGATTTCAAGTTGACAACACTTTCTGAAATCTGTGCTATGCTCCACACTGCCTAGCAAGCAGAGTAGCTGCCTGTAGTAACAAGGTGACAAGTCACAATTTTTATTTGCAACAACTCTTACTCTGCATCTCTAGACTGGGTTGCAAATTCACCTTGCACTCATGTTTTCATTCAAACCTATTTCAGTACCTTTACAGAGACAGACAACAGAGCCAAAGAAAACAAGCTACACAACCCTATCAGCCACACCCTTCTCAAACTAGGTGACAAAAGGAAGACTGAAAACATCAAAGTGATTAGAATCCCCATCTGGTTGGGACAGGGTGAAATGCTGACTGGATCAAATACTAGGTAAAGAAACACACCAGCATCATACCACACTGGGAGTCTGCGACAGACATATGCTAAAACTAAATACCCCTACAGCCTATCAGCTCTGCAGTTTAAGCACGACAGGAACGAGAACTATTCCTAGCTCTGCCACAGATTTCCTTTTGTGATGCTGAGTAACTGACAGCAGCATCCGTGTCTTGACTTCCTCATCCACAGGATTAGAATTTATCTAACTACATTTAAAAGAGTGTTGTTACAGATTTTGAAGAAATTTTTATCTACCTCCACTATGTTGCATGACACCCTGCACTGATGAAGGAAGAATATGCAAGCATCCAGTTAAAGGACTTGCCAGACAAACACGATACTAAAGATCGTGGTGCTATTCAGATTATGTGAATAAAAACCTAAATCCCCCGAAGTGTCTGGTGAGTGCTGGAAGGCACAAGCAACCTACAGCCAACACAGATTCATCTGCAGCCACTGCAGCTGGAAGGTGGTTCTGGATTGGTGGCTTTTGGGGTGTTAGCAGTAAGCAAAGCTCAGCAGGCATTACATATGAAAAGATCTCTGGAAAAACACAACATGAAGGAAAGCATAAAGGTGTGAATGAGTTTGGGCAAAGAGAGAATCTGAAGTGTGTTTTGAGCAGAATTTGAATTTATTTGTACATATGAAAAGAATGCTTTTCCACATAGCAAGATGCTGTCCTAGAAGTGTAGCATAATTCAAAGCAAGTTTTCCACTAGCAAGAGAAGAAACCTACAAACACAAATCACTTCCTCTTTTCAGTACTTGAGTCTCGTCAAAAATCACCCATGTCTTGTATACATGATTTTCAGAACCTATCAGATTATCATACTTCAGACACTTTGGATCAAACATAAAAGCAAGACAAGTGAACACTGCTGTGCTATCCAGTGGACACCCTATTTTTTTTTAAATTATTTTTTTAAATCCTCTGTTGCTAAAGGCTTTTTGAAACTAAAGCCTTACATTTCCAATCTGTTTCTCCCTAATTTTCATACTAGCCATTGCTATGGGGCTATGTAAGTCAAGATCTCAGAACTCAACACTTTAAACCTTGCATAAGACTACCCATAAACACAGGCCATGGTAACCCTCTGGATATACAGCACTTATTTATCCCACTGAAGACAAGACATGACACGTCACCAGCCAAGGGTTTCTTTGCTCCACACCAAGAACCTGACCTGTGCTTGAGCTCCTGTGTGCTGGCTCATACTTTCCCTGCTGAGCTCCTCACACACCCCAGCGCACTCGCATTGTTCTCAAAGGACTGGATAGTTAACCCGCTCCATGTCTGTGCCTGGTTTAAATGCCACCACTTGCTTGCTACAAGACACCCTACAAATATGTGCAAGCTGCAACAGATGGCAATCCCCAAAGGCATCCTGCCAGTCCATAACACTTACTTTCCTCTTCTCCAATGTCCCCTCCTTGCACTGGGATCATTACCCTCTATATTGAATGCTTAGAAAAACTGCAGTTACTTAATATATGAAGCATGAACAGTTGTACAGCTTTTCTCCATTCCTCGAATGTCTGTGACTGTGCGACTCCAGCATGACCTTCATATCACCTTTCTCCTCTGCCACTTCACAAAGTGAATTGGCAATCTAAGAACTCCTTACAAAACCCACTGCTGCCCAGTAAGTGTGCAGTATTCCTCTCCTGAACACCAGTACTTAAGGACATCTCTTAGGTTAGCTTAATGAATTTTGACAGTGTTCTCTAAGAAATCTTTGCTGAAATGTAAATCCGATCAGCAGAAGAGATGAAGGCAACTTCATTAACAGATAATATTCATCCTGAACATTTACCACTTCTGTGTTTGAGCTCAGACTGGCCTGTGGTTTAATAGGAGGCAATTGTTCAGCCAGTCTTCTCTGACAGCTTTGTTTTAAAGTGCCTAGTTATAATTTTGGCATACTTGAAAACAGCCCCACACGCTCCCTCTCTCCCACTATTTAAATGCAGTGTACACTGTGCCCTTTCTGTCAGCCTGTACATTCCCTTTTGGCTGGACACTCTCCCTTCTCCACAGCACCTCGCTGTGTATGAATACTAAGATGCAAGAACCTTCTCACCTCTGCTCACCCCCTGTGGACAGAGTGGCATTCCAGTCATGCAGCTCCCACCCTTTCTGTCATTACTCCTCTTCATGCATGAAAGCCTCTCCTTTTTCTGCTTCCCCGTGTAAAAGCATCTCAGAAATGTCTTCACCTTCTCTCTTCAACAATGCACAGCATTTCCTCTACCAACTACCAGTGCATCCACTTTGGTGGATGATTAGCACTTCACTCCACACATCCCCACTTTCCAACTAAATTTACGCCTCTGCATTATTAGTACATTTTAAACAGATTTAGAAAATGCTATGGACCATACACAGAACTCTGTCCTCTTTCTTGTCTCCCCTGCACACTTCCAGCACTGCAGCACTTCGGTGCCAGCCTGGTTATGCCAGAAAAAGGGAGGCAGGAGTTGCTAAAAGAAAGTATTATGAATGCCCCTCATGGATGGCTGCTCATTAGCAGAGATGAGAACCTAATAGCAAGAAAGTTACAGCTGCACCAGAGGGTTTTCTTCCTCATTGACAGCAAGCTGACACTTTTCATAAGCATTATAGTCCCTTAAAAAGAAACAAACAAGTTTTATATTTTCTCCATCTGCCTTCTGTCCTAATGAATCCACCTCTGCTATTTATAGGATGCAATTTGTCTGAATTATTAAAAAATTTCCTTCCAGCATTGCATGGAGGCCTCACACATTTTTCCATGAAGCACATTCCTGGGAAGCACAGCTGGTCTCACCTCCATTAAGCACCTGTTTCTCTTCAAAACCGATTTCCTTAATTTCAAGATCATCTTAATTATTTTTTCAGGTAATGCTACTTTTGTGCGGTATACAGCTAATTGCTTATATCTATTTTTTAAAATGGAAATGAGAAAAGAGTGTCATTAGTGATAGGTAATACATCAAACAAAAAAACCCAGCCACTGTTTTTCTTTTACTTTCAAAAACTGTTTTAGTTATACCCCAGATTCAGCACTGCCCTTAAAAAGGACAGTAACTTCTCCTGGAATACATGTGACTTTTACAGATTTGTGCTGAGTTGCAATCTAGGCTGTCTCCTCCTGGAAAAACATGGGGATAAGTCATTTATTGCTTTTTTCATTGCAGAAAGCAAAGTAAACAAGTTCACTATATTAGCTTTTGCCATTTAAAGAAACAGAAAATGCCTTGGACACTAAAGTAATTGTAACCAAACACTTCACAGCACTGAAGCACTCCCCTCAGCCAAAGGTTTGAGTATGTATACAAACACACACCTTCCACATTAGACTCATCTTCACCAATACGCTATAGTCTCATCTTTATAGGAAAATGAGCTTCTTTGCAGTAGAGTTGCTCAAAATTTGCAAACAGATTAGTTCTGTGCAAAGTTCACACTACCAGGAGATGGCAAGTGGCTTATCCTTTCTTTGCCCACAGAACAGTGGCAGCAGACAGCAATTTCCATCCTGAACGGAACCTGAGGAATTAACTGGGGCTGATGAGCCATCTTGATCCATTCAACCCTCAGTGCTTGTGCTGAGAATGATGCAGCAGCTCCTGTGTTATCTCCTTTATCTCCTCCACAAACCTATTTTCTTTCATCTTGGCCATGCTGATCCTGTGCCTATGCTTATCTACATTCTAGCAATAACAAAACACTGCACCAGGTGCCTATCTCTGATACACCAGCTTAATCCCAAAATCCAAACAACTCTCTTTGGAGAAAAGTTGCCAAATCTATTCCCCTTGACCACCCATTCCATTTAGGATTTATTCTCCCCCTAAAGGCATGGAAAAATTATACACGTGAATACTGGTCAGATGAGCTGCTGCTGAAACAGAAATGTGCCACTACATTTTCCCTCTATACAAAGCCCTTGGGTTGCTGTTTAAAGAGAGAGGCAAGTTTCATATGAAGCTGAAAGGACAGTGGCAACACTGTAGGAAACATGAAAAAAACCCCTACTCCTAGGAAAAAAATTGATTACTAAAATGAACCCTCAGTTAATTCTTGCAGTGTCCGTTGGCAGGTTTACATCAGTTGTTTGTTCTGGAGCACTTTTAAAGCCAATTTCCCACTTAATGCACTTTGGCTCCCAATGCAGAGAAGTCTCTGCATCACGTGGACTCCTTTCAGGATGACACTAAATCAGGAGATGCACTCCGGGACCACACTGAGGGTGTGTCGACCAGGAATGGAAGTTGAGGGGCTGATCTGCTCGCCCTGTGCTGGCCCATCCCGAGTGCAAGACGTGACAGCTACCAGCAGATGGAGCGAGAGGAGCCCACACTGCAACTTCTCTGCAAGGTCATACGCTAACAGACTTTGTAGAATTAGAAAGCAGCTCCCTAAGCAACCAGGAAACTGTTAGCCAAAAAAGAAAAGAAAAAAAAAAAAAGGAAAGGAAAAGAAAAGAAAAAAAGGAA